TTTTGCCCGCCCCGCAAAAGAATTCTGTAGTAGTGACATGAGCAGGCATCGGCGCTGGCAGCCACACCGTTGATCAGCGAGCGTGCAGGCGGTCACACATGCCAGCCACACCGCCGCGCCAAGCCAACAACGCCATGGGACCTGGCAGGCGCCTGTGCCACGCTGCCGGCAGGCAAGTGGGCAGCCGGCCACGTGGGCCAGCCACGGCACTGCCGTGCTAGCGGTCAGGCAGTCGTTCGCACCGGGCAGCCACGCGCGCCACTAGGCCGGGCCTGCTACACCACCGCTACGCGAGCGGGAGCCCGGGCGGGAGGGCTGCTCAGCCGGACAGCCACACCGCCACTGGCCAGGCATGATTTTGCTGTAATTCCCAATAAAAGGAAGAATAGAAGAACAGAAAAGCTACCGCTTCATCGCAACACTAAAACACCTGTCGCGTTGTGTTTGTGTGAGTTCGTGAGCTTGACGACGTTGTGTTTGTGTGAGTTTGTGAGCTTGACTCCTTCGTCCCTGGCATCCTGTCGTCGCAGTTGGCGTTCACCGCCGTTCCAAGACTAACAGTGCCGGTGGGTGGCCAGCGACAATGACATCGTATGTATGCAGCCCTGAAGCTAATTGCTAATTGCTTCCTATGAGTACGTCGCTAGAACCAACCAGATGATTGCTTCCTAGGTTTCGATCCACATTACTGAAGCTAAGTGCAGCAGCTTCTTTACTTCTTAGGCAGCCTCGATGGCGGAGTGGCATACATGGGGACGGGGGACCTCGACCTGGCAGCGGCCACGCCGACTTTGTCCATGCGGATAGTGTTCAAACGCATCCATCAACAATGGCATGGTGCACCCGTGTGGCGCAGGTGGCCACGCTCGCCGACACCGTCTATCCCGAATGTTCATATCAGCGTAGCGGTACGTGTTGTCTAGCCTGTTTACTTCATGCGGCTCATCAACGCAAAGTAGAGGTGCCAGGCCGAGACGATGCAGGCGGCACAAGGATTCAGAAGCTCACGATCGAGTGACGTCGTGGATGCAGAACGCGCTGAAGAACGCGTAGCAGAAGTGCGCGAGGCCGAGGCTATGCAGAATGCACTCGAGACAGCGCTGCATGACGAAGAGCGCCAAGCGGAACATGGAGGCGCTGCTCGGGGCATCCACGTGCGTACTCCTCTGCGAGAGGATCCGTGACTCAAAGGACAGGGTGGTGGCCCATCGGTGGCGTGGCGGGCCTCGTCTGGTTGCCGGCCTGCCCAGCGGCGACGTGGCCTCACAGCGACCTTCCCGTCCCGCTCAAACGGCGGTGGCGTGGTTGGCCCCGCACGTCCGCCATCCTGCTTGCCTGCGGCGCTGTGGCGTTGCTGACCTAGCACGGCGACGTGGCTAGCCCGCACGCTCACTAAGCGATGGCACGGTTGTCGGCGCCGATGTTCTTCGTGAGGGCTATTTTGAGATAGAGTTATTCAAATGAAGGGGTTCAATAAAAAATTACGAAGCAACTGAATGGTTATGGACCTGCAATGTACACCATATAAAGTTTAAGGACCCAAAATTATACTTTGAAAGTTGATGGATCTAGATGATACATGTTCAAAAGTTAATGGAACTATGGTGTATTTTACTCTTTTTTCGTTTGCTTCGCTTTTTTTTACAACATTCGTTTCATTTGGTTTTTTATATAACTATTCGTTTCCTTCGTTAATTTAGCCATGCGGCCTCACTATAACTTTTTTTTTAGGACAGGGCATACGTTTTTTTCGTTTCCTTCCTAATCTTTGCCTGTAATAACGGAAACTACTCCTACAGTGTGTCTGTGCCTCTGCTGGGTGGGCCAGGCCTCCTCCTCTGCTGGTTGGTTGCTTTGCTGTACGTGTAGATACATGATACTGACACACGCATTACACGGGGAGGACGGATGTGGCGGAGCAGTAAAAACGGCATTTGCTTTTTCTACCCACCACTACCTTTTCACCTTTCTCCTCGTCAAATCACATCACTGCTCTCTTCACTTCTCACCGCGTAGGTCCAGGGGTGTTTGGTTGATTCCTCCTAAACTTGAGTCGCTATCTTATTGGATGTTTGGACATATGTACGTATGAAGTTGTTTACACCAGAATTTGGAAGAAGGATTTCAGAGGCTCGAAAGCTCCCAAAATAATGTAAGCAAAGGATCAATTGCGTGTAGATCGAAAACAGCTGATTCAGATATAGCACTAGAATCGGCTTTCTTCAGATAGCGCCAGCGGATAACGACAGAAGCTATGATTGGCGCTGGGACGAGACATGTTGGACTCTACAAAAAGAAAAAGATTAGAGTCAAAGTTATCTTAAATTAGAAATATTTTTATTTTTTATGCCAAAGATTGTAACAAATCGTGCTCGAGTAGGATTCATGTCTAGACTCCGGGTATAAATATCAAACCCCGGCTATTGTAAGAGGAAATCATCAATCAATCAAATACAAGTCAATTTACTTTTTTCGGCTCCGGCCACCCCTTAGGAGTAGGAGTAGAGTAGATCTCGACGAGTTCTTCAGCAAGTACGGCTGCATCGATCCGGTCGACCTCCACTGCTTGTCTGTAAGTACCGTCATAATTTATACCTCTGTTCGTATGGCTGTATCGATCCGGTCGACCCCCACTGCGACTCTGGTATAGGCTAGTTATCGACTCTTGCCTAGTTCAAGTATGGCCTGCGTGATTCTGCCTCACACCCACTGCTTGAACTAGATCAAGGTCAAGTTATCGGCTCTACCTTTGAATGGCAGTCTTTGGTAGATTCATTAAGTTACCGATATTGCTTATTGCTTTCATTGTCTATCTAATTACAGCAATATCACTCTGCCCGATTGAGATTGATCTAGATCGGCCTTATATCTTATTTAACCCATCGTTTGCTAATCTAAAACTGATCTAATCTATATCTTAAACGATGAGTTATGTTTTTATCGGTTGTTTTATATCAATGTTAATCGTGCATAATGTGCGGTTAAGGCATGTTCGATCTTAAGTAGATCTATTGGTTAGCGAGAACCGTTTCATGGCCCGTTATCACGGCCTGTGGGATTCTGCCTCTCACCCCACTGTTAGCATCGTGGAGTGGGGATCGTTAGTTGATAGATCCGTTCCTGATAAGGCATGACCTTAACTGTGCGCTATGCCTGAATCGGCTGTTTAGCCGATATCGAGCGCTCTCATGAACAGATCACATTGCGAGACCATTGAAGTAGAGATAAGTTGAAAGATATGTTAGCCCCATGATCTTGTTATTGTATTACGGCCTGCATGATTCTGCCTCATGCCCCACTGATATTAGTAATGAGTTAGGGTCGTCGAGTCTATTGTTGTTTCTACGGCCTGCATGATTCTGCCTCATGCCCCACTGGTCATGGCGATAGATGAGATCTAACATGTTCATTAGATTTGTCTTTATTAGATGGTTAAGTGGTGTTGAATTGTTTCTTTACATAAATAGGAGTTCGGTTACTTGTAATCATTGGCTTAGTACAAATCGACCATCATCGATATCTTATTGCCATTGATTCATGCTCGCTTAAATGATATTTATTCTTAATGATAATCGATTCTTCTTACATAACCTCATAAGCTTTAATCGATTTATTCTTATGAATATACTGGAATCGACTATTTAGTCGATCTCCTTTCATATCGGCTCTCAGAGCCGCACATTCGGGACTGTCTGGCAACACCGGCATGTTCCGTCCTTAATTACTGATAAACTTTCTCTCCTTGTCAATTGCAGGGTCAAATTGACTGGCACGTCTCGGGAGGATTGCGCAGGATCGACCACCTTGCGCTGAAGCTAGGCGGATCTGCTCCATCGAGCGGACCCTTCCGGCTTGCTGCGTGTGTCCTCGGCACGGGACGAAATTCTGTGTCGACAGAAGTATTAAATGTAGACTAATTGCGAAACTAAATGCACAGTTTGCGACTAATTTACGAGACGAATCTTTTAAACCTAATTAGTCCATGATTTGGTAAGGTGGTGTTTGGATCCAGTGATTAAAAATATTAATATTTATGATACATAATTGGTATTATTGGCAAGATCTTTTAATCTAATTTTTTAATAAATTTATTTAGAGATACAAATGTTACACGTATTTTCTACAAATCGAGTCAAACTTGTGGCATGAAAACTGAAAACGACAAATAAATTGGGACAGAGGGAGTATGGTTCCACTATTTTTTTTGGGGGGAGGATTGGGCATTGCACTAAGACATTGATTGAACTGCTGCTGATGGTTTCTGCGGCTGATGCTGTTTTGTTGTGAGAGAAAAACGTTGTACCATGACTGATAAGCGAAGCTGATAAAGTTCAAGCGAACAGGACGCTCCATTTCATCTACGAGTTCATTGACTGGAGCTTCCTCCATGTTCTAGTACATATCAACACTCAGGAAGGAGAGGCAGTCCCATCTGCTGGAGTTTGTTACCAAGCTTAACCTGAGACCCTGAACTTGTAATGTAGCTGCACCTGAATACTACTCATCATTGAAATTCAGTTTGCATTATTATTAAATTGTGCAAAATTGGCCCCTCCCAAGACATTTGTGCGCCACACCATGATATGAAAAAGAAAATCTCAGCAAGGGTCATCTGCTCACTTTGATATGTAGATGTACCTAATTATGTTGCCTTCTTTGCTGTTGTGATGAATCAGAGAAAACAAGTCCGAAAATATACTGTGCAGCAAGTGAGAGTTTTCTTGAACTTTAGTGTACAAATAAGCTGAGTCAAATGAAATGATAATATCAAACTGTAAGCTGAGTCAAATGAAATGATAATACCAAACTGTAGTATCTGTATTTGCATTACTGTCATTTGATATTTGCTTTCATGTTTACAAAATAAGTAGCTGTGATTCCTCAAGAACATTACCTTTTCTTGCCTCATGCATCAAACATGCAACTAGATATACATCAACTGGACAGTGCAGTATATTTATTCCTTTCCTTTTGTTTCTTATCTTGCTAGTATCAGTACAATGGTGGCGAGCAAATCCTCGTGGAGCCAGGTTGTAAAAAATACCAGGCCAACAAACCTGTCCATTCCCGCAAGAAACCTCAAACAGCAAGACCTTGGAGCTGTGATATTTGGTTGCACTAGCAATACCATTGCAGAATGTCACACACAACTTTTTGGTATGCTCTTGGTTTGTCTTCATCACAACAACTCTTCTCTAAGCTTTGTATTTACAAAACTGAGCTACCCCTTTAATGCATTTGGGCATATCAACTTGTTGAGGGATCCACTGACTTAGTTACCGTTTGTGTCATGTTTCAGGATTGCCAAAAGGACATATTTCGTATGTACGAAACATTAAGGAAGGACTACCTCTCTTCCTCTTCAATTATGATGATCGCAGACTGTATGGTATTTACGAAGCTGCAGGGAATGGCAAGTTCTGTCCTAAATCAAATGTATGGTCACATGATAGCAAGGGCAAAACAAGCTTTCCTGCCCAGGTACAATCCCTGGTGTCTGTTCTTTGAATGTCATCTTCTTTTTCACTCTCAGTAAAATGGCTTCTATATTCATGCCCTTTTATTTATTTGTTTAGGTTGCAATGCGGGTAAGGGTGTGGTGTTTTCCGCTAGCAGAGAATCAGTTCAGAAATGCTATTATAGCCAACTACTACCAGAACATACCCGGTGTCCCTGGCCAGAAGCTTCATTTTTTCAAGTTTGAATTGGATCATGCTCAAACACGTGTTTTGATGGATATGTTCACTCCTCCTTCTCCCTCTCCTTCTCCTCCCAACAATTTCTGGATGCCCCCTGCCGCAGCACCAGCTGATGAGCATGGGAGAGAATTAGTGCTGTCACCTGGATGGGCACCAGAGTGTGAGGGGAACAATAACCTCAAATCAGAAAAGCTCGTAAAGTCATATGCAGACACAGTGAAGAAGAACAATTTTGAGGAAGTTGGGATAAGAGATGTGGATGCGGAACATGCAAGCTCAGGTAATGAATCTTCTGGTGGTTTCGATGAACTGGATTGTCAATACACATCACCAGAGAGGGAGGACTATGCACTATCAGTTAGGGTGGTTCCAATGCAACAACGGGCCTGTTTGGTTCCCTGTCTCCACCCTGGCCAGGCTCCACGGGGCTAAGTTAGATATGTTTGGTTGCCTGGACATGCCTTCTAGCCAGGCCCCATAAGACAAACTAGGATGGTGGGCGCGCTTCGCCGCGCCCGTTTTGGCTTCGCGCTAATGGCAGCAAGCGGAAGCTAGCAGGCTGTTCAAATGTGCATGCAAGACCGATTAAGCACTTGACTACATATGTGATAAGACTAATTCATCTATGCTTTACACAACCATTATGAATAATTGACTATATTTATATAGTCCCAGCGATACAATAGGGTGGCGTACAAAACAGTAGAAAATAAAATTTGCAATGCAGAACACTAAATTAAACATAAATAAACTATAGAGACATTAGTTCATTGTATAATTTAGATGAAGATTACAGGAAATGGGGTTACTCTTGGACTGAGTGTTGGCAAAAACATCATATAAGACCGTGTCTATTCTTCATCAAGCGACCTAGTAAGCCATTAGTTCCAGGTCCCATCTGACAATGACTTGTATCCTCTCGTGCAAAATTGAGTACCTTGTTAATGAGGTTAGTCTGCAGAAATTTCATTCACTATTCAAGGAAAAAAAGGTTAGCGTTGTAAGAACGGTTTCATAAAAGAGAAAGAATGAGTCAATGATAACTCTGAACTGGTCATAGCACACAAACTGTACCTTTTCTCGAGGATTGGATTCCACAGGTCAGTCACTAATGTTATTACATTAAATTGCATCTAATCAATTCCTAAAATGAGCGTGTACAGCTAGTCAATATCCATGTCTGATTTCGTCCTAACGAGGCACAAAGCAGGAATCACCATAATTATTAGATTAGTGAATGAGAAACCAAACCACTATGTGTTTTTAAAATTTCTTTTATATTAGTTGGACAAAAAAAAGGGTCATGCAGCCTTGCTCCATGCCCAAAAAAATGCATGGTTGATAACCTGTTCTGTTCCACAGCTAGATCCATGACAGAACTCATAGTAACTAATTCTAATTAAAATGTATCATAAGGTGTTATGAGATAAATTATATTTGCTCAGAACAGAAAATGAATATAAAGTGCAGGTAAATGTAGTACCATAGGAAGGCATGACGATGCCTGATGCAAGTAGCGTTTGGCTTGGCAGCAATATTGTAGATGCCATTTGAGGCCACACCCTTCCTTGGAAAAATGATGTACAATTGTCCAACACAGAACTATCTTTCTGCTGAGTACTTTGGTAATACAAAACTACATAAGTTATCTCAGACTACTACAGGCCAGATATGTAGCTATCTCAGGTGCATCAAAACAGAAAAAATGAAAAGTCTTCCTTTTACTGAATAATCATTTGGATCAGATAAACCAAGAGTGTAACCACAAAAAATGGCAACCTATGTTAAAGATTTAAGAAATGCATGATCGACAATTACAACATATACAACAAGAAAATGTTACTTACCGAACTGTTGTTCATCGAATACCAACTATCCAATAGAGGTAAGCTGGAAGGCACAAAATCAAAATTGCAAGAGTTTGACGCGCAAATTTCTTTGAACAACAGTGACAAAGACAAAAATATATTTTGCGTAGATTTTAAACAGCAAAGTGAGACCATGAAGCAATGGACCGAAAGCGGTGTAACTGGTAGCAAGATGGCTTGCATACCATATGGATGAGTTGTACATAAGCAAAAAAATCAATCGACACAACCTAGGAAATCAGATGAAACAATTATTTGCTAAAATATTGGAGATAACTATGTGCTATGCAAGTAGGAATTAATTGGGAAAAGAGATGCTAGATCATGTCTCGCAATGTATGTGAATATGGAAATTTATATTTGTCAAATCTTTTTTAATATGTGGGCTTTAGATTAAGCATGTACCGTGGAGACTGTTGATGTCTAAATTTCTGGCGACAAATCCTTAATCATGGGCTCTAATTAAGCTTGTAGCATGGAGGCACTGGGCCATGGATTGCCATCAGAACTCAAAATATCGTCACCAACACTGACAACCCCTGAAATGCATTGAAAACTGAATCAAACATGCAGATATGAAGCATCATCAAAATGAAAGTTCGTAACACACAAGGCAGACTAATTTTTTTTCAGGGAAAACATGTTGGTTAAATTTTATTTCTGCAAGAAGATAGATAATACAACAACATAAACAAAGGTTGGCCAGTCCATGTCACAGAAAATAGCAAATTGACATGGCCTAAATTTCAGAAAACACATTGATGGCGTGTGAGGAAGGCTGCCAAAAGTTTCCTCTGTCTACCCACCCGCATTAGGAGCCTGCAGATTTCACATGTAGATACGTGGTTTGAAGTAGCACTCATGTAAAGGAATAGAAAACATCGTGTTGTAGTTGTTCACCGGAATAGTCGCTAATAACGTGGAGGATATCGCCTCCCGTGAAAGTGCCAGTTGCAATCGGACGTCCACACGAGTGCGATGAAGGGCGCCTCGATTTTTTTTCCTCCAAACACCTCATTGGGGACGTCCAGGTGCTGAAGTGGATGGCTATCACCTCGAATGCGCTGTCCACCCAATAAGAGCAATCAGAGACAGGCCGAACCAAATTAGAGAGAGGGGGAGAGTACCTTGGTTGGAGAAGGCGAGGAGGCTGGATGTGGAGCCGACTGCTGCTCCATCTAGGGGAGGAAGATAGAGAGGGCGACCTGATGCGTAGCAACGGGGCCACGGATTACAGCAGCAATGGCCGACCATGAAAGGCAGACGGGGCACCATCTCTCTACTTGTGTGGAGGCAGAAGAGTGTGCAGGCGTATGGGATCCGGCCACGGCGCGGATGGAACACGCGGAGGTGAGGTGGCGATGGCGAGGTGGTGGGCGCGCATCCGCACTTGATGTTGCCGGGGAGAGGAAGAGTAGGATCGAGAGGAGAGGCGGAGGCGGCGAGGCGCGGATTTTCTTTGGGGCTTTGGGGGAGTGAAAGAAGATGACGCGGAGGCTTCAAGGCGCTGCCAATTACTTTTTTTTGTCTAATAAAGGCTGTAGACGTGCGGGCCTGAATGAACCCTGAGAGAGCAAATGCAGGCGGGCACACGCACGAGGCACGTGGAGACGGCTGATTGGCGAACAGTAAACGGAACAGCGGTTGAAGCGTTCTCCTTGCGCCAATTCCAGCGCTTATAACTTGAGCACGTGGCGGTGAATACGATCAGAGGCGCCGAGAATGCGCCGATTCTAGGAGCTTTATGGAGTTTTTCTCCTTGCGCCAATTCGGCGCTTATCTTGAGCACGTGGCGATGCGCCGCCATTTTTTTGTCTAATAAAGGTTGTAGACGTGCGGGCCTGAATGAACCCTGAGAGAGCAAATGCAGGCGGGCACACGCACGAGGCACGTGGAGACGGCTGATTGGCGAACAGTAAACGGAACAACGGTTGAAGCGTTCTCCTTGCGCCAATTCTAGGCGCTATAACAGAGCACGTGGCAGTGAACAGTACCAGGGCGCTGAGAATGCGCCGACTCTAGGAGCTTTATGGAATTTTTCTCCTTGCGCCAATTCCAGGCGCTATAACAGAGCACGTGGCAGTGCCAGTTACTTTTTTTTGTCTAATAAATGCTGTAGACGTGCGGGCCTGAATGAACCCTGAGAGAGCAAATGCAGGCGGGCACACGCACGAGGCACATGGAGACGGCTGATTGGCGAACAGTAAACGGAACAGCGGTTGAAGCGTTCTCCTTGCGCCAATTCCAGGCGCTATAACAGAGCACGTGGCTGTGAACAGTACCAGGGGCGCTGAGAATGCGCCGATTCTAGGAGCTTTATGGAGTTTTTCTCCTTGCGCCAATTCCAGACGCTATAACAGAGCACGTGACAGTGAATAGTACCAGGGGCGCTGAGAATGCGCCGATTCTATAGCTTTATGGAGTTTAATAATATGGGCTTCTTAGCCAGGCTCCAGAAGAATGGAAGTGCAAGTCGTTTTCTGGGCCCAGGCTCGGGCCAGCTCGATGCCGATTCCCGTCACCTCCTCTGCTCGCCTCGATCGCTCGCCTCCACTCGTCTCCGGCGGTCCTCCCCACGCTCCCTTCTTCCATGTTCTCCGTCCACGCCACCGGTCACCAGAGTAGACCAAGCCTCTCACTCGCCGCGCCATGGACATGGTCGAAGCAGGAGCTTCGCTGCCGCTCACTCACGCGTGTCCTCGCACCATCTCAGCGCCGCGGCCACCCTCATCCACCTCCCTGCGTCAGCGGCGTCGCTGGACCTTCGCACGTGAGCTCCGCTTGCTCCTCCCCGCCGTAGATCCCCTGCACCAGCACGAAGCGATTCCTGTCCGGGGCCTCCTGCGCGGTGCCCCTGTACTCGTACCGCGAGATCGAGCGCGCCACGGGCGGCTTCTCCGAGGAGAAGCGGCTGGGCACGGGCACCTACGGCACTGTGTACGCGGGGCGGCTCAGCGACGACCGTCGGATGGCCGTGAAGCGGATCCGGCCGTGCGACAACGGCGGCGGGTGGACTGCGTGACGAACGAGGTGAAGCTGCTGTCACCAAATGCCGGAGGTCCCTTGCTCCTCCTCGCCATAGATCCCCTGCACCAGCCGCTACAATCGTCGCCGCCCGAACACCACCGAGCCTCTACCCCGGCGGCGGCGCAAGCAATGGAGGCGCAAGCGCGGTGGTCGGTGGCAACCCTAGCTGCTCGATGAAATGCCCAGGTGACAGGATGTGAGGTGATGGAGCTACAAATCACCCTAGCAAGAAAGGGGTGATTCTATCGTACCAAGCTAGGCAACCAAATAAAAATCTAGTGCCGGTTTAGTTCGCAAAATTTTGCAAAATTTTTCAAGATTCCTCTTCACATCGAATCTCTGGACGCATGCACGAAGCATTAAATATAAATAAAAAATAAAACTAATTACATAGTTTAGAAAAAATTCACGATACGAATCTTTTAAGCCTAATTAGATTATGATTGGACATTAATTACCAAATAACAACGAAAATACTACAGTACCATTTAAAAAAAAATCGCCAACTAAACAAGGCCTAAGCCAGACTTATCTAAT